GCCATCAAGCTGAGGGGTATATACCCAGGCGGGAAGGGACTCCTTTTCCTGAGCTACATCTCAGGAAATATGATCTTCCTGCTTCTCTATGAATATCCTCCCCCACAGTCAGTCTATTCATATCCCTAGGCTCACTGAGACAAGCATTTCTGAGCACAGTATAACAGACCTGATTAAAACTAAAATCAAGGATTTACAGGGCACAGCAGACAGGCCAAATGAACTGTAGTCCAAGATTTCCCAGGCCAGAGCCCTCCCAGGGTTCTGCCCTAGTTTTGGCTTCATTCTACTTTTCTGAAGCTAACAGAAAGAATCATTCAAGAGCTCAAGAGAACTCAGAGCTGGTGAATACAACCCCAAAGGAAGGGCATATATCCTCAGAGTGCTTTTTTAAAAATCAGTGCTTTAGAACTAGCAGTACACTCCACTCAAAGACAAAAACTGTGAACTGTGTGGTCTACAAGTGGCTTAAAAGCAGGACTTTGATGTCTGGATGACTACTATGGTGTCACTTTGTTTTTAAAATGCTCTAATGATAGCCAGTCGAAGCATCAGCAGGCCTGTAGGCTGTGAACTTGTGTTGCCCGCAGGATGGCACAATACCCTGCAAACCAACTTACCGGAGATATCAGGAGTGGCCTGTAGGTTTTACAACTCCTAAACTGTGTACCTCCCACAAAGAACCAGAGGAAGGCTGGGGTTGTGTTTCAGCAGTAGGGAGCTTACCTCGCACATGTGAGACACTGGGTTTTATCCTCAGCACCACATAAAAATAAACAAACAAAATAAAGATATTGTGTCCCTCTACAACTAAAAAAAAAAAAAACATTTAAAAAAGAACCAGAGGAAGGATCTGATCTTGAAGAACTCAGCCATCACCCCAAGAGCCAGGAAGACAATGAGCTTACCTGCCTGCCTGTCTGCCTTCTCTTCCTGCCTGTCTCCCTTCCCCTACCCTTTCTCCCTCTCCTCCCCTCCCTTCCTTTCCTCCACTTTCCTGTCCTCTGCCCCCCGCTCCCCAATAAAAGATTCCAATTGATGGAAAGCAGAAAGAACAATACTACTATGATAAGAATGATAATGAAAAAGGTCTCTACAAACAAAGGCAGACCAAGGAGCACATCCTATACAAATTCATTTATGGAAAGATCAAAATCATCTAAAAGATCAGAGTCATATGAGAGTCAAGATGTCCATCTCTGTTGGAAGTAGTGACGATAACCAAGAGAAGCAGGAGGAGAGCTATGAGCATGCTTGATAATATTTGCTTTCAATCTGTATGTTGGGCGCAGGAGTGGGTTTACTTTGTGATAATTTATCAAGCAGTACACATAGTCATTTGTGATTATCTATATACAGTCACATATCAATAAAATGATTTTTTTTAAATTACTCTCTTTAAAGATAGAAAGTAGTTTATACTTTTTGCTTTCTGCTTATACAGTGGGACAGAGCCTTGAAAAACAAAACACACTAAAACCCCAAAAAACAAGAGACCCATAAGCCTATTTTTTCACCTTAAATGGTTTTCACGGTTTTCTAATTCAATAAGAGGTTTCTTCAGGCAGAATTTCATTGAATTTCAGGACCTAATCAAGCCTTTTCTGTTCTTGGCCAATCTCTGGATGTGCCAAAATCTGCCTGTGACTCTACAGAGGGAACACTGAGTAATCTTCAGGCCTCCGGGGTCCGACACAGAGAGCAGAGACCAGGGGAACACAGGAAAAGTTATGGAACTTTCTCCAAGTTACACAATGAGTTGCTGGTGGAGGGCCTTATGATTCTCAGTCCAACAACTCTGGCTTTTCTACTACATCTTATTCTGCTGGGGCCAATTAATAAATATTCTCCTTTGGGGCACTGAGAAAAATGAGCCCTGAGAACCTCACTGGCCATTCTTTACATGCAAAGTACACAAAGGAGTTTACCCAATTCCCCTCCAACAGGAAATCATTTGTCTGGGAGAGTAAGGAAGAGGAGAAGGAGGAGAAGGAGGAGGAGGAGAAGGAGGAGGGAAAAGTCGAGTGTGCAAGAGGACATTGCAACACAACCCACTGTTTTTGTAGAAACGATGTTCCCCTAATCAAAACACAGTTGCATAAATGGACTCATTCCGCTTAAGAAAAAGGAGGGGGGATTGTTTAAACTCTATAAATGGGGACCTTGCAACCCTGAGATTAATTTCTTCAAGTTCTTTCTCCACTTTCTTTTTCAGAAGGTAGCTAAAAATAAAGGTTTGGAACTTGAAATAATGTAAGCAAGTAATCTCTCTCTCTCACTCTCTCTCTCTCTCTCTCTCTCTCTCTCTCTCTCA